AACCCTATGAGTGTGAGGAGTGCGGGAAGGCCTTCAGCGGGAGTTCAGACCTCATCAAACACACAAGAATCCACACTGGGGAGCGACCTTATGAGTGCAGTGAGTGTGGGAGGGCCTTCAGCCGAAGCTCAGACCTAAGCAAACACACAAGAATCCACACTCAGGAGAAACACTGTGGGTGCCCTCAGTGTGGAAAAGCCTTCAGCAGCAAGGCAGAGCTCACCAAACATAGAAGAATCCACACTGAAGAGAAGCCTTACAAGTGTAAGGAGTGTGGGAAAGCCTTTCGTCATAACTGTAAACGCAGGGCTCATGAACGAGAACACACTGGGGAGAAGCCCTATCGATGTGGGGATTGTGGGAAAACTTTTCAGGATCGGCACTGCCTTACCATCCATCAAAGAATCCACACTGGAGAGAAACCGTATAAATGTTCAGAGTGTGGTAGAGCTTTCAGTGGGAAATCAAATTTGACCAATCATCAAAGAATCCACACCGGAGAGAAGCCTTACAGATGTGAGGTGTGTGGAAAGGCCTTTCATCATAGTTCAGTCCTGAGGCAGCACAGAAGAATCCACACTGGTGAGAAGCCATATACCTGCAGCGAGTGTGGCACGTCTTTCCGTCAGAGCTCAGCTCTGATTGGACACAAGCGAGTTCATACTGGGGAGAAACCTTATGAATGTGAGGAGTGTGGAAAAGCTTTCAGAGTGAGCTCAAATCTTACTGGACATAAGAAAAGAAAACATAGAGTGTGGGGAACCCACAAACTTGATGAGAATGGGAAATCCCTCTCTCCAGTAACCTGTTCTCAGACCTTTTCATTCATCAATATTTTGACAACCAACACTTGAGGGTAGTGATTCTGGTGTTTACACTTTCTCATTTCTCCTTCTACTTCTTACACTGGTCCCTCTTGTCTCCTGTATTGGTTCTTCCTGGTTCCCTGACCCCCTAATTGTGAGACCCCACCAAGCCTTTGTCCTTGACCTTCCTATTCAGTGTCTCTTCAGTGAGCACATTCACTTCCAAGGCTTTGTCTATCAATAATAGTATTGTAATAATAAATACTAGTGCTTGACACATGCCAGGCATTATTCTTTACAATTTTTAATCATTTAATCCATACAACATCCCTATGGGATGAGGAAATTGAGGCATAAAAAGAAGAAACCTGCTGTGGATCACTTAACTAGTAAATTCTGAACAAATGCCCACTGAATGCTTAGACTTAGCTAAGCAATTTCCATTATCCTGCACCACATCTCTCGGATATGAAGCTATACCTCAGTTCAGCACAGAACATTTTTTTAATTGATAAACATTGATCATCTTTAGCAGGTTTTGCTTTAACTTAAAGCCTGAATGGTACTTCTCCTTAACGGATCAGAATTGCTGAGATTCGGTGGGGAAACGGAGGCAGGGCAAGGGCAGATTTTAAAATTACAGATAAGCAGAAGTCAGGTATACACTGCCGAAGCAGCAGTGTACGTATGGAAAAAGCATGAAGCCTGACCCACTTTGTTATAAATACACTAAAAGGTCTTCAAGATGTTAATTTCTTAAATATTTGCTATATCTGTTTGCATGATATATGAAATGCTCTTTCAAATAGATTAGTAAATTTATATCTATCTTTTCAAGTCTTTCAGTGTCTAACATCTATCCTTTCTCTTGCAAATGTTACAGGTCCTTACTTCAGACAGAATTAAATTAAATACCCACATGCAATAAGGCTGTTAAAATAGAAATTGAAAATCCTAGAAGAGGATGCAAATGTGTCAACTTAATTAACATAATGACCATAATTGAGAATTAAATTTAGTTCAGAGTTCCCTGACTGGTAAAGAGATGAGCAATGGGTTCCCCAGCATTTGTCAAAAGTGTTTTACAAGCTAATGTTTTTTAAAAATAATAAGTTTGAGAAATGCTGGCTAGGTGGGGGTATTTATTCCCTTAAAGACTTCTCAGGGTTTATACTATGCTAATGTCCTTTCTGAGTCTTAAACAAAGGAACTGTAAGAAGCATTGCTTTCCCAAAGTGATGGACGAAAGAATTCTGTTTGGAGGAGCACCTTCATGGACTCTTGTTTCACAGAAAACATCTTAGGAAATGGTTACACATTATCTAATATGGACAAGGAGTCCAAGATACACAATTTTCTAGTAACAAATTCCAAAGGGAATTACATGACTTATTATACAAAAGACAGATTAAACATTGTTTCTTATGTTCAGTTTCTACAGGAAATTAGAGCATGTCCTTTATATGGCCATTTCTTATATATTTTTTTGAAGAAAACCAAGATGAAAACATTTAGGATATAACTCTAAAATTGTCTCTGTGGAGGATGGCACTCTGTATATGTGGCTTTTGGATGATATAACGTGACTTAAGGGCAGAGTTTAGGATATGTCTGGAGAATTGGCAGTGCTTTTCCAATCTTTTTTGACTGCAAGGACCCCTTATTTGGTGATCAATAAATTTTACCGACACTCTCTCCCCCATGCATACACACACTACAAGTAGTTTTACTTTAATGCTTGATGGCAAAATGTTGTCATGTTCTCCTAGAAAATCTGAGGTTTTGTTAATTACAACAGCATGTATATGCTTTTGGAAAATGTATACACATGTTCAGGATGCTTTTTTACCCACAGGCCATGAGGTTCATTTGGATTTTGGACTCAAAGTCCTTAGCCCATCATGAGAACCCTCCAGTGCATCCTTTCAAGTCACTTCTTCAGTCAGTCTTTTAACAGAATCTGGCAAGATTTCAATTCCAGTTTAAATTCTGGACAGTCCTGGAGTGTTGATGTTTTGTGTTATTGATCAGAGTCATGTTCTTCAGACACCAGTTAACTGGAGGGGGTGGCAAGCCTGACATTCCTCTGTGAAAGTTGAGAAGCCTCTCTACTGAGCCCAAATAGAAGACTTTTAGACTTCATCCTCACCAGTCCATCTTCAACATGACTATTGTCTCCCTAAAATATTCCTATGATCTTGACACCTGCTTTTTAAAAATTTTTTATTTATTTTTATTGAAGTATAGCTGATTTACAATATTTTGGTTGTTTTAGGTGTACAGCTGCTTTTAAAACTCCCAACTGACTCTCAGTCCTGCAGTAAGAAATCCCAAATTACTATCTTGAACTCCAGGAATCTTTTGATACTTCCTGGACACTTAAAATGAACATTATGAAAAAAAACACTGAAGGAGTTTCAGATATTTTACCTGTGGAAAAAATTATTTAGAAGGGATCCTAAGGTGGAATAGACTTTGCTATACAGTTGTAAGTTTGGTAGACAGGCATAATGTAGAAGGAATTCAAAGATCAGATGCATAGTTGAATAATCAAACATGTTAGTGTTTCTTGAAACCCTAAGATTCTTGTAGTTCTAATTGTGAAGTTACTAAAACAAGAGTTGTTGATTTAGTTATTTCTTAGAAAAATCACCAGATAAAACTCACTTTTTTAAGCCTAATTAATTCTAAATGGAAAGACAGAAAAATTTCACCATGAACATTGATACCATGAGATTGTTTTCACTTTACCTGTACAGAAGAAGTAAAGAATGCCCATTTCACTCAGTTTTTAAAAGGGTGATAAAATACAGCTTTCAGAATTAGAACCACAAATGTACAGAAGTGTCTTTCTTAGCTCCTACCTATGGACTGTAGTTCTATGCCCTGGGATAATTGCAGAGTAAGATTAACCCATTGCTCACAAGGTAGTCCTTCAAAAATTTCAAGACAAAAGCTTCTCTTTCCATCAGGTAAAATATCTGAAATTTCTTCATTGCCTTTTCACAATGTTCATTCTAAATGTTCAGGAAATATCATAAGATTCCTGGAGTTCAATTTAGGGTTTCTTACTATGGGATTGAGAGTTAATGGAGAGTTTTTAAAGCTGGTGTCAGGATCATAGCAATAGGAAGACAATGATCATATTGAAGATGGGTTGGTGAGGGTGGAGTCTAGACATCTTGGCCTTTGTTCCATTGGTCTGTTGTCTAGCCCTACACCAATGCAAAACTGCTTAATTACTATAGCTTTAAAGTATCTTGACATCTGTAGGGTAAGTCCTACTGCTTTGTTATTATTTTTCAAGACTGACTTGGCTATTTTTGTCTAAGACTATACTTCTTCATGGATTGGAAGACTCAGTGTTATAAAGATGTCAGTTCTCCCCAAAATTGATCTATACATTCATTGCAACCTAAGTAAAAATCCCAAGGGTGCGTTTTTATGGTAATTGACAAATTGATTCTAAAATTTATGTCGAAAGGCAATGTAATTCTTGGCCAAGGCGGAAAGAGTGGGGGAAAGGGATAGTTAGGGAGTTTGGCATTGACATGTACACACTGCTATATTTAAAATGGATAACCAACAAGGACCTACTATGTAGCACAGGGAACTCTGCTCAGTATTATGTAACAATCTAAATGGAAAAATGTATAACTGAATCACTTTGCTGTACACCAGAAACCATCACAAGATTGTTAATCAACTATGCTCCAATATAAAATAAAAAGTTTAATTAAAAAAAAATATGTAATTCTTGGCCAAGAATAGCCAAGACTGTAAAAGGTAAAATTTTGTCTTTTACAAGTAAGTTTTGGAAAATATTTGTATGCCCTCAGGTCAAGAAAATATTTCTCAAACAAGACACCAAAAAAGGTTAATTTTAAGGAAAGCAATTAATTTTCTGATAAATTCAACTAGATTAAAATGAAGAATTATTTTTTCAAAATCACCATAAGGAAAGTGAAAATACAATTTTCTCATGAAATGAAAAAGATACTTGGAACAAATATACTTGGCAAATTATTATCTAAAATATTTTATGTTGAATCCCATGAATTGCCGAAGAGGTTGAATAGTGGCAATTTAACATGTTTCAACTTAATATAAACACTCCTATGAGTCAATAAGCAAAAGACAACCCCAAAATAGGCAAAAAGCATGAAGTATTTCACAGAAAACTGAAAAACGATGATGACCAAACAGAAAAATTGTCCAGTCTCAGTAATTAAGGAGTTTTGACCACAATGATATGCTGTGAGATACCTACTAGGTTGACAAATTCTCTTAAATCTGGAACTTCATTCAAAGTCCTCACATAGAGAACTTTTTTTTTTTTGGTAGAGACTCAACCATATTTGGGCAATAACTTATCTATTACATGAACCCCACTACGCTGTAAGTTCCATGAAGGCAAGGAACTTGGAGCTGGCAGGAGGGAGAGGGGAAGATAGGGCGGAAACAATTTCCAAGCTAAGTCCTGGAGGATGAGAAAGAGACACGAGGATCTGCTCAGAGCAAAGAGAGCGCCCACCCCAAGCCACAGAGGTGTTGGATGCAGCTGAACTCGAAAGCGCCCAGAGGGGCGAAGTCACCTAGCGCTGGTGCGATGTGTCGGGCAGCTGCGGGACGAGGTGCTGGCGCTTTCCAGAGCCTCTTCTCGCGTCTGAATAACTAGGGTTCCAAACACAAAGTGCGCTGCAGAGAGGCTGGAGGAAGAACAGTGATTATTTTGAACATAAATTATTCCTTCGGAGGCACTGGCAGGATTTGTATTGAATTACAAGGGCTTTCCCAGGCATCTGACATCTATTCATTTGTTTGTAATAAAGACTGTATGCATAAAAGCACTTTTTGTTCGTGTTACTTGATTGCTGCATCCGCAGGGCCTAGAATATACTGGCTGCTCAAATAGATTATTTGAGCGGTTATTTTCGGTTGAGCATTGTTCTAGGGCAGTTATCTATGGCCCCTGGGTAAACAGAAGTCAAAAGAGGGGAAGATAGGGACCGACTTTGTAGTATGTTAGAACTGTCCACATTGGGCGTGAAGAAAGGACGTCTAACACTAGGAAGTTTTAAGAAAGAAAAATACACACGTGGCAGCGGTGGGATTCGAACCCACGCCCCCGAAGAGACTGGAGCCTTAATCCAGCGCCTTAGACCGCTCGGCCACGCTACCACTTCCGGCTTGCTCTTCTTTCCACATTTTCCCTAGGAGTGAAAGTTCTCCCCTTCCAACTCCCACACACGTTTCCCACCCGGGACTCTTTTCTGGCGTTCTTCCCACTAATACTCCCATAGAACTTCTGCCTGGTGTTCAGCCACCACCCATCCTGACCCCTGACACCCTGCTTCCCCACAGCTGGGAGTAGGGCGGGAGGAAACTAGGGCATCCGAGACTCCCGCCCCTTTGGGCCGCGGGCCCCGGGTGGGTTTCAGGTCCGCCGTGGATGGGGATGTCCAGCCCGAGCCGCGACACAGCTGAGTGAGTCCGGGAGTGGTTTGGGCTCCTCCCGAGGGGACTCTAGGAAAGGAAGGCAACCCGACGAAAGGCGCAGAGAGCACAGTCCTCAGGAGGACCACGGTCTCTGCAGAAGGGCCCCCAGGACCAAAGGCGTTGGGCGGTTCATTTTGAAACGCCAAGATTCGAATCATTTAAAAATATAGTTGCGGTCGGGCCGCGAAGGTGGCGAGAAGAAGCCCCTGAAGCAGCCCAAGAAGCAAGCTAAGGAGGTGGACGAGGAAAATAAGGCATTCAAGCAGAAACAAGAGGAGGAGCAGAAGAAACTCGAGGAGCTAAAAGCGAAGGCCGTGGGGAGAGGCCCCCTGGCCACAGGTGGAATTAAGAAGTCTGGCAGAAAGTAAGCTGTTCCTTGTGTCTGAGGCTATGATGATCCTTAATTCCATTCCTGTTTAAACATCTGGATTCCCTGCCATAACATCTGTTGCCACCTTTAGCTAGAATGAAGCGTTGTCTTGGAACCTACTGTACATTTAAGAATAAACTTTTGTAAAAAAAAAAAAATCATACAGTGGCTCATCTTGTCTTTCGTTCTTCTCAGCCATTGCTGCCTTAGCTATGAAATCTGCATAAACCCAGCCCAGAATCCTGCCAAAGTGTGTTCTTAAGTCTTTGTTCTACCCTGAATTCTGTTCCACCTGGAATTAAACCAACTCATTTGAAATGGCAAAATATATATACGCAGTTGCCGTCATAACATAATGCAATACATTGATAAAGTTGCTGTCTTAGGGCAGACGGTGGGGCGTGGGTCTCCCTGACCTAAAAGTTTTGGCTCAGACAAGGGTGTCATAAAACAAGAACACATTGTGCAGATTATGTCAAAAATAATATCTCGATAGGGAAAGTTAGCTAACGCTGGAGTTTCTGTTTGTTTTGGCATTCATCTCCAAGAAAGTCAATGCTGATAGTGTATTTATCCACTATTCCAATGAAAACTAGGCTTTCTTACAAATTCCTATACTAGAGTTGCTCATATGGAGTTTATTGCATAGTGCATGGGTGTTCATTTCCTGTGCCTACTGTAACAAATTAGCACAAACTGTGTGACTTAAAACAACAGAAATTTATTCTCTCACAATTCTGGAGGCCAGAAGTCCAATCTGTATCACCTCCCAAATCAAGGTGTCCTCAGAGCCAACCTTCCTCTGGAGACTCTAGGGGAAAATCTGCTTCCTTGACTCTTTCAACTTCAGGTGGCTGCTGGCATTCCTTGGTTTGTGGCCACATCTCTCCAATCTTCAAAGTAGGCATCTACGAATCTCTCTCTCTCTGCTTTGTCTTCAATGGCCTTCTCTTTCTAAGAAAATAAAAAGTAAAAAATTGATTTAGTAGTATCTCATTATCCTTAGCTGCAATACTTTAGCAATTACCAGTGTTATTTCCTAAGGAGATTACCTTAGGAAAATCACTAAGAAAAAGGATTCTCAAGAGAGTGGAAGCAACATAGTTACCCCTACGCTTGCTAAAGCCTCACTTTCCCCAGTTTCTCCATATATCCCAAGCTAGGAGCCTCTTTTCTCACCCGCTGTGTCATTCTGAGCCCTCTCCCTGGTTCTCTCTCTCAGTCCCTCACAACAGCAGTCTCCTCCCCACTATGAGACTATGTACTCCCACCAGTTCTGGATCTCTGAGGGCAAGATGGACAGAGTTTGATGGAAACTGACCACTTTGTGACAACTTTAACGCTCAGAGACACAGAATGGTACCCTCCCGCTAGGTGCTAACTGGTTCAATGCTTCATCCGCGTCATCTTGATCCATCGAAGGCATCAATTCAGAGACCAATTTTCTCTTTCTAGTGCTCACATTCCTACATGATAAACCAAGAGGGGGAAACAGAAAAATGAAGAAATAAATTGAGATAAAGTGACTATATCCAGGAGTGGGCATCAGGAGTCCACTCATTCATTCAACAAGTATTGACCAAGTGCCTACTGGGTACCTGGGCACTAAGCTGTGCACTGGATATTCATCAGAAACACTTGACCATTGCTGTCTACACCCTCAGAGCTACCAGGGAAGGCAAACACTCATCTAGTTATTACAACTCAGTGTTGTGAATGAAGGAGGGCTGGGTTCGCACTTGGTTGAAGGAGCTAACTTAGTTCTGGAAAGGCCTGCTTGGAGGAATTTACGAATACGCGGAGGAATGCGGGGGCTGGAGTGAGACAAGCCTGGCGAGAAGCCTAACAAGGAAAAGTTTGGGTGGAGGGCGGCTGGGGTCGGGATTGCACCTGCAACCCCTTCCCCACCCCACAGGCCCGCTCCCGGAGGAAAGACACAGATTCCTGAAGGAGCCAGGGGTGAAAAGTGGAAGAAAGGAGAAAGAGGAGAAGGAGAATGAAAAGAAGAGGAGGGCTTCTCCCAAAGCCCCCACGGTCCGGTCCGGGTGATGGTGGTGAGGCCCCCGTCAGCTGCCGCTACCTGACGGTTTCCGGATCTATGATTCTAACATTCCGAGAAATAATGAGCCCAACCGTGCTCCTCAGGTGACAATCCCTGCAAGGACTAAAGGCCTACGCCACACAGAACAAAGAATCTAAACGGTATACAAATATATCCCTCTTCCTGTTCCCTGGAGAGGCACTTTCTAGTACCCTCTATCCAACTGTCAGCTCAGTGTGTACTCTCTAGGAAGCGGGGAGGACTGCCTCTCTCGCTGGTTCTAGTTCAGTCTTGGGGAACTCACAGCTTCAGTCCGACAGTTGGGTAGGCCGGGCGTCAGAGTGAGATTTGGAACCACCCTCACAGGTTCCTGGAAGTCGAACAGGGAACTCTGATGATCTTCTGTTTAGAGACTAAATTGATGGGAAAGCATTTAAAATTAGTTCCTCGGGACCGACCGACTTGAGAAAATGTCTGGGAAGCAACTATGCACCTTTAGGAGGTGGATTTGTCAGCAGTTGCCATCGGAACATATACAGAAGTGTAATTCTAGCTTCACCGGGTATGGCCAGAAAGCGTGACATTGAAAACGTATGCCATCCCATCAGTAGCAGAGAATTTCCAAATTTTAGTTCAGAATTCAAAGAGTTCGGATTTCAAAGTCCTGAACGATCCAGGAGCTTTCACAATTCCGCGCTTTGCTTCCCCTGATCCCTTGTCCTGGAATGCCGGTCTCCTCCTCATTCCCTCACAGAAACCTTGCTCATTCTTCAAAGCCCACTTCACATAAGTCAGTTCTCCACCCTGCCTCCGAATCTCTCTCCCTCTCTCTCTCTCTGTCTCTCTGTCTCTGTCTCTGTCTCTCTGTCTCTCTCTCTCTCTCTCTCTCTCACACACACACACACACACACACACACACCACCGTGATTTTCCACACTTTTTTTTCTTAGCAGATTACTCTTTCTGCCCAACGGAAAACTTGTTCACAATATATGTCTCCTCCATTCAACCTAAGCACCACAAATGTAATAAAAATAATAATAATGAAATCATATGGATTAGGATAACAGTAGGGCTGAGCACTTTTTGCGCATTACTCCCCATAGCAAATCTATGAAGTAGATTTTTTTTTTCCTGCGGTACGCGGGTCTTTCTCACTGTTGAGGCTTCTCCCGTTGCGGAGCACAGGCTCCGGACGCGCAGCCTCAGCGGCCACGGTTCACAGGCCTAGCCGCTTCGCGGAATGCGAGGTTTTTGCGGAACTGGGGCATGAACCCGTGTTTTCCGCCTCTGCGGGCGGACTCTCAACCACTGCGCCACCAGGGAAGCCCTATGCGATAGATTTTTTATTCCCTTTTTACAGATGGGAAAACTGGGGTTTAGGGATATTAATTGAGAGATAGGAGCGTGTCTTGCTCATTTTTCATCTTCCATAGGGACTAGTGTAGTGCAAACCTACCTTGGCCCTGAAGATTGATTTACTGACCCCCAACTGTTGTCCTTTTTCTTATAGTCATTCAAGTTCTCCCTCTTTCCTCTTGTACTTATGTGGATTTTGGTTTTGTTATATTTTTGCCATTTTCTCTCTGAGTTGACAAGTAATTAGGTAGCAGTATCATGAGCACAGAACCTACTGTGCTAAAATACAGATTAGAGATTTTCCCCCCCATGGAGAATAAGTAATAGCTCATAACAGAAGAATAAAAAAAGAAGTCACATCACTTTCGAAGAAGAATCCTTTGTCTCTAATCCAATTAGGTTTATGTAGGAAAGTTTAAAATTTAGAAAACGATTAAACACATTCAGGGGTTCTACCCAGACTCCTCCCTAAAAACAGACATATAAAACTAAATGAAGCAAAGGATTCTTGCTGCATATAGAGGAGACAAAATATGACATCATTAAAAGAGGATGTTGTTCAGGAGTGATTGCCATCAGCCCTATAAGGTTGATTTCCTGTGAAATACTAAGCAGAAAGAAACAGAACAGCTTCAGTATATACAGAAATTTGACAAACTATACTACTTTTATACTTGTGGCAAAACAAAATTTCTTAGACAAATTGATCTTACATAGGTGTCAAAGTGTATTAACTCAAGGAGAGTATTGGCAAGATGACAAAGGAGTGTCCCATCTCAAAGAGGTTTTGGAATTTGTGAATTTATATATGGGGGTTGGGGAAGAGCAGGGAATGTGCAATTAGTTAGAAAAAGAGTATTACTGTTTCATTTAACATGATCATAAAAACATCGTGTCCCCATCTGTTGGTAGAGTAAGATCAGGGTCACCATGATCTTTGTTTGGAAGCTTGTGGAGAATTCAAATGTGCATTGATCTTTTATAAGAAATGAGAAGGAAATAATAAGCAATACTTCTGTGGCTGCTATTTAGACAAACTAAGTAACAAAGATTCGTGCCCCAATACTGTCAGACAGGAGCGAATTAGCACAAAGGCATCAAACCTTGTCAAAAGTCAGAAGGATAACAGAATCTGCTTTTTCTCAAGTAGCTGTCAGTAAATTTCTCAGGTGCGCATTCAGAGATGCTGAATACATCGTTTGCCTGTTTCTTAGTTTTTTGACGGCAGTTTTCCTTTAATAATATGGCCTTCCCCTATTTCCTCTCTTAGAAAACCCCAGACAGATTGTAAATTCAGAGCGGAAAACAGGTGGAGGCGCTGGGGAGATAGGCAGTCCGGAGACCGCCTTGATCCAAGATTAAGTTACCGTGTCAGTATTTCTAGGCCAATCCCCCTTCTCCCAGCTGGATCAGTGAAACTAGAAAACCCGCCGGAGAGAGTGGATTTCACAATTCCAGCCGCTTTCGGGAATTCAGAAACTCGCCCACAACCAGCCAAGGCAAACTTCCAGGAAATAACTTCCCGATTTCTTCCCTCTCATCTTCATTCGTAACTCTCTTTACAAAGTGTTATGCTAATCTCAACCAACTCCTAAAGCTAATCAGTTGCCTCCGAAATTTCCTGCTCACTGGACCATCCAACTGAATAAAATTTTGAAGCATTCAGGATAGTGGCGAACTTTTTGGTCAATGTCAGGTAGCGTGCTCATTAACAAAATTTTGTAAATAACTGAAATTTACATCATTTGTGATTTTGCG